AAGTATAAAGAAGGCAGACTCTGGACTTCAAGTTGAGCATCCACAGCATCAAGCATCATCTCAGCTTCTTACCTTCACTTCCACCAACTCTTCACTCTATACCAACCAAACAACTTCCAACCATCAACATGCGCGTCTCCATCCTCGCCTTCATTGCCGGTGCCGCCGCCGCTCCCTTCGCTTCCACTGGAACAGAGCCCGTCTGCCCCGATGGCCTCTACAACAGCCCCCAGTGCTGTGCCACTGACGTTCTTGGTGTTGTCGGCTTGAACTGCGCAGTTCGTAAGTCTTTGCCTTCCATCCCTCCACTCACACACGAAATCATGCTAACGTTGCCATCCAGCCGCCACCACTCCCACCAGCACCACTGGCTTCATCGCCGGCTGCGCTGCCGCTGGCAACCAAGCCAAGTGCTGCACCATCCCCGTTGCCGGCCAGGCTGTTTTGTGCCAGGACGTTAGCCCCGGTGCCGGCGCCCCCGGTGGCGGATCTCCCCCCGCTACCACTCCCTCTCCTGCTCCTGCTCCTCCTGCCGAGAGCCCTGCTGTGCCCTCCGGTTGCCCTCATTACTAGATCAGAAAGTTGGTGGTGAATCAGTGGGAAATTGATGGTCGAGGCGAGTAAACATGGAGCCAAACTGGAAGACATAGGGGAAAGCACACATATAGCTGTAGTCATCGTCAATACAATCTGCAGTTGTAACACCAGTCTGACATTTCAATTCTCGCATTTTGATTGATTTGATAATATGTGGTACTGCTGCATCGTGACGCAGCTTGTACTATGGTGGTTGATGGTTGTCGTGGAATGCGGGGAAATGAAGATCGCGCTGGGCGGGTGAATCTCCCGGCGCACTGCGACCGTTTCGAAAGGGGAAAGTGGGTCCTCAGCACGGGCCAATGCGTTCAAGGTGATCGCGATTTTGCGCTCTCGTCCGTTTCCCATCAATCGTGCTGCCCTCTGTCGAAACCTTGGTGTGCATCGCGCTCACGCTATGCCATGGCTGTTTTGAAATAACTCCAAGACGTGCACACAGACGAGTGCGACTTCATTTCAATCTCTTCGACGTGCAGCCTCGTCAGCCTCGCCAAACCTAACAGCCACCACGTGTCAAAACTATCCGAGCGTCGACGCCGTTCGCAAACACAGTTTTGTTCATTCCAGAATGTCACATGGAAGGATTCTAGCTGGGGCTAGGGCCTACGTAGTGCTCGTTGGTGGCTGCTGACGTGGATGGTCGCCTTGTGTTGTCTTCTCGCCCTCAGCATCACGCTTGATTGGTTGATACGTTAGCTGAAGCTGAAGCTGAAGCTCACCATGCCCCGCGCTTCATTTGATCCTTTAGCATTCTGCTCGCAGAGGCATGAGCTGAAAACCTTCCTAGAGTATGGCCTTCCAGGTCATTCTAGTCTCTTTGCCATTTGCCAGCTCAGCTTTGTACCTCGCTTATCTATACGCAACTCTTTCCAGGAAGGTGCAATGTCAAACCACGCCTTACCTCCAAAACAGGACGATCGCCATTCCTAGCATCGTACAAACGAGCCCGGAAAACTACATCGTCCATCATGAGTGCGCGCGCAAGACAGTCGCCAGAGAACCTCTTGGAGGTCCAAAACCAGAAGAGCTGCTGATACCGTTCCTCCGACACACAATGGCTACATTCTCCACGCGTCCTCCTTCATGGGGTATATGGTACATGATCAAGGACGCTAAAGATAGAGAATCCTTCAACGCAGCATATATCCGCTCCCTCCGATTTACACCTGGAGACCGCGTCTGCGGGGTTTACGTCGTGACTTCTCGAGACAATGAGCGTGTTACTTTGACTCTCGACGCGCCTGCGAGCTACAAAGGACCGTCTGTTGAGGGCATGCTGGTAGTTGAAGTCAAAGAACAAGGAGATAACATCACTTTTGTTAATCATACAGTTATGTGGCGGGAGAAGGGGAAGGGACACGCAGGGGTCTTGGAAGGGAAGTTTGGGAGGTGGATGCATGCTCTCATGGTAAGAGGGCTTGTCGAAGGGGGTGTGCAGCGACTGTGCAAAGATATTGAGGATAAGAAGCGAGTATGAAGAGTGTGAACCTGCAGGAAATGACGTTCGATCATACTACAGTAGGAAGGTACGATGCAACGTTGCCTTGGCACGGCACGACAGCTTTTCATTTGACCACACCCTCGAACTCCAGGCACCAATGTTACCTGGAATACAATCAAAACTGTCCCGATATATCTGTATCGGGAGTTTGTGGCAGGGGCCAAGGACGATTGATAGGCTGCGAGCTGTTTCGCCCCAACACACGTGGGTAAGCTGCATCAGCCGCCCCCATTTCGGTTCCCGATGTGGTCGCACCTACCTGCAGCGGCATATGCATAACCTGGAAGCTCTTCCGTGGAGCCTCCTCTATCCTCAAGTTCTGGTCATGCCTAATACTCATTACCATCAGATCGTCCATCATGTCGGGTAGCCTCGAGGTCGCCGCGGGGATCTTCGCAATCATCGGTGTAGCCGATGTTGTTGTGCGAATGGGAAGAGAGGTCCATGGCTTCTTACGCGACATCGCAGGTGCGCCAGAAGAGATCGTCAGACTTTGTACTACCGTAAAAGAGACTGCGCTACTGGCCGAAACCGTGAAACAGCTTCTCGATACCCTGGCTTGTCGGAAACAACCCAACGCGACGAATCACATGGTAGCACTTTTCGAATCTGCACTCAAGAGCTTGCAACGCGAATTACAGAACTTGAGGATACTAAGCGCGAGATTCAGGAGTGGCAGCAAGACCTGGAGTAGGGTGAAGTACGTTCTGGATGAGCGCAAGATCAGCAAGATGTTCAACAATCTGGAACGGTCAAAGAGTCTACTAGCCAACTCTCTGCATGTTGCAAACAGGTACGCATCTCCTCGCATCATTTGACGACATTGTTTTGACGAGGCTCTCAGACAAAGATCAGACGATCAACACCTGGAGCTACTGCAAAGGCACAACACAAACCAAGCCACGTTGATCCAAGGACAAGAACTTCTAGGACGCATGTCAGTCCATCACTACCAGGAAACGAAACGGGCTTCGAAGATCTTGGCAATCACCCACCAGGAGCAAGTGAGAGAGCATCAAAGGACTCGCGAAGTCTTATCAGAAAAGATCGGCGATGCCATAGCCGCGGAGTTTGAGAGGTATCGCATCCCTCGCACTCAGAGATGGATGAGAAACATTTTCTTCTTTGGTGAACGTCGTGACATGATCATGGCCTATCTACTTCTCGTCAAACCGCATCTAGAGGCAGCATTCCGAAACCTGCTGACCGATGGTATCGAACGATTTCCACCTCACTATGTCGATTGGTTACGATACGAGTTCGACCACCTTGTCGCATCAGCATCGCAAGAAGAAGCGACAAGACACCGCGGATCTTCCGCAGCCTCTTTCGACCGTTGGCACTACTCTGAGGAGACAATGCCACATCATTCTAAGGTATCTGGGCGTGCTATTGAAGAGTCAAACACCAGTTCAGATACGCCGGAAGCAGACTACGCAAACCTCTATCTCAGCGCGCCAGTAATCGCGGGCCAAAGGGCATATACACAAACTACTCCCTTCGGTAGTCTACGTATGCAGTCTCCTCGACGAGCGGTCAAAGCCAAGTTCAAACGTCCAAATAACGAGGCCAGTTTCACGTTCACTTGTGGTATTGGCCAATCAGTCCACGCCATTCACGCCCACTTCCTTCGTAACGCAGCTAATGCGTCGAATCCGGGGCTCTGCGCTCAACTCAGTGTGTTCACCTTGGCTGAGTCCGAGACGCATTACAACCAGCTTTTTGCATCTGCTGGTGTCGAAGAGATTGACGACGCATTACGGAGAGGCGTCATCTCTCCGTATGAGATTAACCGGGAAGGAAGAAACCTGTGTCTATATGTGAGCTTTTACCCTAACGGTCTCTAATACAGCGATGAAAGAAGCTGACTTGCATAATACAGTATGCTGCAGAGAACACACGGGTAGATCTGCTCGACTATTTGGCAACCCAAGGTATTGGGGTATCGAACCTGAAGTAAGCAATTCCAGTACCCCACAGCAACCTTTTCATAACATCCACCAGCCACGACGTCAGCATAGTCGCAGGTCTCTTCGTGCGCTCGATAGTTGATGACGACCGTGCCCCGTTCGAGAAAACCGTCGATTACATCATCCCCCAAGTATACGAGTCATCTTCATTCCTCTTCGAGACGACAATGAACATGCTGCTCTGGGACTACTACCAAGGAAGACCGCGCTCCCTACTACGACAACAAATTCAACGATTGCAGCAAGAAGGTCTCATCTCCGACTCCGTAATCATGAACGACGACCCGTGGGACTGGCCCTCAGTATCGAGCATCATGGCTCCACTCTTCGAAGTCGACGCTGCGTACATCAACACCATCGGGAGTCTTGGCCGCAACAGGATACAGCGCTGCTACCGCGTTATTGATCATGGAAGTAGTCCAGGAGATCCGGTCGCTGTCGAAGAGATTGCAAATGCGTTGATAAGAGCGGGTGTTGATGTGCATCACCGCGACCATGACGGTCTGACCCCGAGTATGTACGCCAGACGCTGTGGCGCATGGGATGGATGGTGCAGCGCACTTGCGACGAATGGTCTGCGCATTGAAGATGTTGTGAGAGAAGAAGATGCAGAGTGGCTTCTAGATGAGGGTTGGAGGAATGTCATGAAGGAAAAGCATGGGGAGCTGGCGGTCACGGGATAACGGGGTAGTTATCATCACCTCTCAATCCTAAGAATATGACATCACAACGACAATTTTTAGTAGGCAAGCACCTTAGAGTTCGCATTCTCGTGTATAGAGTAAATGAATATTCTACTGTAGATGTTATAAAGCGCATGAAGTGATGCAAAGGCAGATCAATGACAAGAATCATTTGCGCATGCATTCGAAAGCTCTACGAGGGCAGTCAAACATGCCACCTATATCGAATCGCTTTTCAGTCCAACCCACTTATGGCACTATAGCCTTCCCACAGTTCCCGTTAGATACAAAAAGAGGGTCAAAGTCAAACTGGGGGTCGAAAACGCCGTTGAACGCCACATCATTCTGGCTGCACGTCCTCCCGTTTTCGTATGTGGACAAAAGGCACCCCTGCGAGTAGAAAATCGATGCGCCACACGCCAGGGATGTTATACACGCGACGCAGCAGTCGTAGGCAGTGGGCGCGCTGGCTGAGCTAAATGTCGCTCCTGGTCCAACGTTGCCGTTGGTGATCTTACGTCCATTGCTTGTGCTCACGATATTGTTTGTGGAGCAGGCGGCGTAGATGGTCGGGCCGGGGACTTCAGCGACAATAGTGGTAGTTGAGGTGACTGTGGTGAAGACCGATACTGTGGAGGTGGAGGTCACTTCTGTAACAGATGTGACAGTGTTAGTGACAACTGCGTCAGCAAGGAAGTCGGTTATGGTCGCTGTTGCAGTGCTAGTGACGCTGTTGGTGAAGGTTGGTGTAGGAGCAGTGATGGTACTCGTCTTCTTTGCAGTGACGGTGCTAGTCTTTGTAGTTATCACGGCGACGATACCTCCGCAGTAGACGTTGACTGGGTATCTCTTTGATCCACCTCTGACCCAGTCCTTAGTTCCTCGAGCTCGTTCGGCAACGGGGTCTTTCTTTTCGAATTGCGATGATTTGCGCCTCTTCATCGAGTTGGGGATCGTTGACTGAACCGGAGTGAAGCCGGCGGGTGCTGGAATAGTTGTAGTCGAGATAGCGGTGCTAACGACTGTACTGATGACCGAGGAAGTGATGATTGTCGTTGTCTCCTCAACCGCAGTGATGGTACTGACGAAGGTATCCGTAACGGTGTCAGTGATCTGGAGTGCAGTCGTCGTCTGGGTAGCTGTAACGACGCCCGTTACAGTATCCGTGACCGGTGCTGGAGTGACAGTCGTGGAAGGCGTGCTGGTGATCCATCGTTTCGCCACCAAAGGGATGGTCAGGTATCGCGAAGTCGTGGGAACTGGTTTCTTTGCGGTGGGCCCGAGCTTTGTCTTACAAACATTCAAGACTGTTTTGGTGCTGAAGCTACCGGTTCCAAGCACGAGATCTGCACTCGCGCCGACCAAAAGAAGAAGAGTGGCCACCTTCATGGTGATGAAAGATGCTTGAGTGTGTGATCTTCAAGTAGAAGGAGTGCGTGTAGATCTAGAAAAACTGCGACTCGACATGCATCTAAATACTGCAGTATACCAAAGCCCAGTACGACTACTGGTGTTCTCGATGCCTCTAGCATTGCTGTAACTCCAGAGGTTTCCATAACTAGTGATGTGCCCAGAAAGCCACCGTACGAAATGGGTCATACTCAGCGAGATTCAGTCCAATATGGCATGGCTCTGGCCAACGTATGTCCAGAATGGGAAACATCTTCAGCCGCAGTATTACGCAGTAGCTCAGCCATTGTGGTATAGAGTAGAGATGTTCAGCCAGCCTCGTGTAGCCTTGTCTACAAAGTCAGTGTCTAGAGCGCGCAACCCCGCGAAGTGGGAGGCCTGAATCAAGACCCGCCAATCACCAGCCATGGGTTCTGTCCGAAGTCTTCGCGCATCGAAGTTTAAACTGCAGGAACAGTGCTTGAGTGCCATGAATTTTGAGGTGTGAGTGCGGAACTGGCGCTTAAGCGGTAAACATCGAAATGGCGGATTCGTCAGCTAATCAACACCGTGCGGTACAGCGAAGATTGTGAAGTATTAGGACTATTTGTCCATTTGACGAGCTAAGACATGCGTGTGTTGGTCTATCCGTGAGCTAGACATGTGGCTTTTGATTCCAGAAGCGATTTCATCAGGATTTGATCCTACCTGAGGTCTAGGTCGCTCGGTTATCGATCATGGCCGTGTTGTCTTCGAATGGTCCATCGGCCACGCCGTGAAAACGAAGGGATGGGGTGACAGCTACATGGATTATGGGGAGTACCAGGAAAGGAAAACCTGGGGAAATGTGTGAGGATGGCGGGCGCACGTCTGCGCCGGCGCAGGAGACTTCATGATGTCATCACTTCTCTCCGCTTGCGGCTAGTAGCGAACTTCGTCTTCAATGCTCAAACTATGAACTCTCATTCACGATACGTACTGTTACGCGATGACAAAGTCCTGCACTCTCTGTTCCAAACCCCGCGACGTTCTCGTGCGCTGCCAGATCGACGAATCGCAAAAATGGCATTTCGTCTGCCCTGGTGCATGCTGGAAATCGGTCTCTGGTGGCGTTGAAGACGCAAAAGGGATGCAAGATGAATACCCATATTACCGGTATGGGGGCATGGTGAGTTGCTGAAAGGTTCTGGGAGAAAGAGAGGCGGCTAATGTGAGGTCGTGGGTAGTGGAAGGATAGAAGTGCCGATGGGCCGGTTAGCGCGAAGAAACCGAAGAAAGTCAAGGAGAGGCAGAAAGAAGAGATGAAAGCGAGGGAAGGAGACCCTGAGGCTCAAAATGGAACATGAATAGTACCATAAGTAAGCAAATATGCTCGTTCTTTGATCGGATATGGCAACGCGCTAACTATAGCAGCCCTATGACGGGGTGTCCAATGCCGACACCAAATTTATACACTATACCGAAACGTCCTGTTGTGGAAGTCGGTAGTATCCTCAATGGAATCCACATCGCTCGAATTCATGCCTTGAGCATGTGAGCTCTCCGCTTCTTCGCGATCGCGTTGGGCGTTCCGCCGTAAGAGCAGGGCTCGCAGGCAGAGCGCTAGCACAACTTGAGAGACTGCGCATCCCAAGATCATCTTCACACCGGTCTCGTATTTTGGGGCTTCCTTCGCCAAGAAGGCTTGTGGACCTGAAGTAGGTGATGTTAGTAACCGCGGTTTTGAGATGGGCTTTGACGGTGTGGTGAGGCTTACCGATGATGTTACCAACACAATAACCCAGAAAGACGAAAGCTGTGCTAGTAGTACGCTTGGTGTAGCCGCCTACGTTTGATGCCGGAAATTGAAGCGCAATCACCAGAGAGCCAACAAAGGCGCCAATCTACCTTTGTTAGCAACATCTCTGCAGAGCGACAAATGGTGAAGACGAACCATGTAATAACCCGCCAAACACCCAGCCAGATTAGTGCGTGGAAGTTGCCAGATCAGACATGCGCCGATGATCGTTGGACAGAGGTAAAGAGCCATAATGTATGTGCGCGCGTTCGGCAGTCGAGAGGCGAGAAAAGGGCCTGTGAAAACCCAGAACACTTGAGCGAAGCCCTGCGGGATGCCATACAGTGTTGTCTTTAGTGGATCACCTCCCGCTGCGTCCTTGACAATGAGCTTGCCGAAGTTCGCAGTGCCGCCGTTGATCATTTCGTTGAGCGTGACAAACAGAAAGAGTATCCAGATTTGCGGGTCCATCAAGGCCTCCCAGACCTGAGGCAGCTTGATTTTGCGATTGTACACTCCGGTGCGATTGCTAGCGGCGCGCGCGATCAGGAGAGCCTTCTCTTCGACAGAAAAGCTCTTGGCTGTCATGATGTTGTCCGGCAACCTGAAGAAGAGGACTACAGACCATAAGACGGTCATACCTCCACAGATGATGTATATGATCTTCCAGACGACGAAGCTCTTCGCATATCCGGCGCCGTAGAACAGGATGCCCCCGACGGCACTACCGAGGCCGTTGAAGCAGTAGAACGTACCCGCCCTTGCGGGTTGTTGTTTTCCTACGTACCACATTCCGACGATCTGCAACAGTAAAGAAAAAGCGTCAGTGTGTGTACGGCATGTAACCTGAAGAGCAAGACTCACCATCATAAACGCGGGCGTCACAACACTCTCGAAGACACCCAAGAGGAAGCGCATGACAGCGAAGCCCGCGAAGTTGTGGGTAGCAGCTGTAAGTAGCATAATGGAGCCCCAACAGAAGCAGAAGAGCGACACCACTCGGCCGGTTGGAAAGTGCTGCGCAAGGTATGCTGATGGCCATTCAGCGAGCAAGTAGGCAAAGTAGAAGATCGACGCCAGCCAGGAGTACTGATCACCAGTGATGCCAGTAGTCTCGAAAAGATCGAAGACGGCGGAGTAGCCCATTGCTTGCTTGTCGATGTACTGGAGGAAGTAGGTTCCACATAGTAGTGGTAACAGCAACAGGTCGACTTTCCTGGAAACGCGCTTGTTGGCTATGTCGTCTTCAAGGAGCTCAGCCATGTACTCCGGTGTGATATTATGTTGCCTTAGGAACAGGTTTGCTTCATCGAGGTCTTCAACTTCACCCACAATAGCGCTTTCATGCTTGTGAAGAGAGTTCGCGTCCATGCTGCTGAGCTGAACCTCCATGTCTTTTGACATGGTCGGTGTTTTGTCGTCGCATTTCGTGGTATTCGGCTGCGTCGACATGGTTGAAAACGAGGGTCGACAATCAACAAAGTGAGTGATTTATGCGTAGGGGACCAGAGCAGCCATACGAGGATGCTTGCAGTAGAGCTTTAACATAACTTCGGATGAGATACCCGCGTCGAACTACCCCGCGACATCAATCATTCAATGCAAATGAACGGAACCCATGTAGGATTCGATAAGAACGCGTGATAGCGGAAGACAGGCGGCCGATCGCATTACCCAGAGGATATATCCGGGACTCGTTGCTACCTTGTTATCATAGTGGGCCAGTATACGCCTGCAAGCTGAAATCAAACCTGGATAAGGATTCAAGAAGTGGATCACCGCCCTGGTAAGTGACCTTGAAAGGATGCAGCAGATTTGTGAACATGCCATCGCCCGACGGCAATACTTCGGCAGTGATAAGGGAGTCGCATGGCAGATGTCAGATACCGGTAGCGCCCCGCGGCATTCGTAGAGTGGTGGTCGCAAGCTGGGGTCGCATCCTAGTGACCACCAGTACCCGTTAGCGGCTCCGCCATACCTGCATCGATTGTGCGAGAGCTCCGAAGACGGCATCACCAATGCCATCACCGCGCAAAACATCGAACGATATGTCACTTAGATAAGATAGCTAACAGGTTCAATCCTTTGGTTATCTTCGACACAAGTCGAAGCAAGGCTTCTTCAAAATGGAGAATGCTGTGATTTTGATGGCCGGTCTCTAGGCTACAAAGACGAGTCTTTCTCCATGACCTTAGCAGCCTTTTCTCGCGTCGTGGAGACGGTTTCATCTGAGAATCAGATGTGGCTTGCGTGTGTGTGACGCATCTCTCCGCTGTCGTTGTTGTGAGGTTTGTGAAGGGGGACAGTGAGGCAGGAGAGATTCGGTGGACGGTGCAGCTGCAGCTGAGGTCTTCGCTCAATTGAGTGGCACTGTCTTATCGATAAGCATTGACACCGCGAACCTCAAAGAAATCACACTTTCTGCTTCATGTAAAGCGATCAACAGAATGGCGAGCACGTTCAAGCCTTCCAGGCAACAACTGTCAATAGTGTTGAGTTCCCCGGCGGAGAACTCGCGGCTCGGGCTTGGCATCGATGCTGCATATCCGACCCGACTACTTAAGCCTGGCGAGCCTAGTGAATGCTTGTGCGCCTCAAGGAAGCGTCCCACTCCTCTTGAAACCTGAGAAGAAGATCTTTGCCTTTGGAACATTCACGGAAAGCTGGAAACATTGCAACTAGAAGATGCCTAACATCATCGTAATCGGGTACGCTTCGTTCCATTTCCCGACAGCTGTCAGCTCGGTAATGCTAACGCTTCTTGGTGTAAAGAGCAGGCGTCTCCGGACTGACCTCAGCGTATCTTCTCTCCAAAGATCCAAGTAACAGGATTGCGGTCGTAGCCAAGCATATGCCCGGCGACTCCGATATCGAGTATGCATCACCATGGGCCGGCGCAAACTTCATGCCGTAAGTATACGCGAACAGCTGCGTACACAATCAGCTGATGTATGTTGTACAGTATGTCTTCAGAACCACAAAGTCGCTATGAACGTAGAACATGGCCGCAACTCAAAAGACTAGCAACAGAAGTGCCAGAGGCTGGTATCCACCTACAGAGTGAGCAAACTCTCTCACGGCCAGACCACAATAGCATACTCAAACAAAAGCAGAATGCCGCATCTACCGCCGAAAGCAAGATATGAAGAAGCTGCAAAGCGGCGGCGCCACATCCTTCAACAACGTCTTTACCGAAAACCCCTGGTGGCGCGAACTAGTCGACGACTATCGCAATCTCTCCCCCTCCGAGTTGCCATCAGGAATGGCATCAGGCAGCGAATTCGGCTCCGTGTGCATCAACCCCGCCCTATACCTCCCCTGGCTCGTAGGCCAATGCCGCGCAAATGAAGTGGAGTTCTATCGGAAAACTGTATCCCACATATCTGATCTGCGGTCTCCTTGGATCGGAAACTTCAAGCCAGACATCATCGTCAACGCGACTGGGCTATCAGCTGGGAAATTAGGAGGTGTAGAGGACAAGACCTGCTACCCAATTCGGGGCCAGGTCGTTGTAGTAAGAAACGTAGCCCCAGCTATGGTGTTCGTGTCTGGCACGGACGACAGCGAAGACGAGGCTTGCTACATGATGACGCGAGCAGTTGGCGGCGGAACAGTACTGGGAGGCACCATGCAAAGCGGAAACTGGGAGAGTCAGCCCGATCCCAATATCACTAGTCGCATCATGAAGAGGGCGGTTAGTTTGTTGCCTGAGCTGACGGATGGGAAAGGGCCAGAGCACCTTGATGTTATCCGGCATGGCGTTGGGCTGAGACCGGGAAGGGAGGCTGGTGTCAGACTTGAGAAGGAGAGGGTCGATGGGGTTTGGGTTGTGCATAACTATGGGCATGCGGGGTGGGGATACCAGGGCTCGTTTGGGTGTGCGGAGGAGGTTGTAGGGCTTGTTGGTGAGATTGGGCTGCAAGCTAAGCTATGATGTTGATTGCTAGTAGCGGAAAGATCAAAACTACTGCTGAGACAGTTCAACCTTGGACCACCAAAAGTCACTCTCCTCCTTCGCATACGTGTCGTCAACCATGATAGCCGGCTCACCAATGATCTCCCCACCAATAAACTCCTCGTTATCCCTCCCAAAGATCATCACCTTCGGATCCGCTCTATCATAGCTCTTCCATTCCGTTCTGTTCGCATATGTGCCCTCGAGTCCATTCGGAGTGCCTGTACAAATGAAACTAGTGATATACGCGTGAAGGATGCCTGACAATTCGTCCTGGCTCTTAGACTTCGCAATGAACTTCGGGTCTCTCATTTCGTAGAACATGTTGTCTGCGTGACGAGCACCATCGACAATGTCGCGTCTCATTGCCCAGTGATACAGGTATACAGGTGCATCATGGCTGGCGAAGAAAGCCGTTTGACGGACTGGAGCTACGTATGCGTAGTGCGCGTAGGCCGCCTCGATACGCTTGTACATAGCGCCGACACCATGCTCGAGCCGCGTCTCTTTGTAGATAGAGTCCGGTACTTCGGTCGGGTCAGGGTACAACTTGTGTATCGTTCGGATATCGTCGTCGCTCATCTGTGGCAGCAAGGTCTTCCAGAAATCTAGGAATTCCGAGGAAGTCGACATCTTCTTGTTGACGTACAGCGAGCCTTCATTCCCTTGAAATCCGGTCATGATGGGCATCTTGTACCATTTACCCGTCCGCCATGCATCGATTGGACGGCGGCGGATGATCTCATTGTCGATTACTGGCTGGAACGCCCAGCGTAGACTGGGGTTGTACTTTTGGAATACCTTGGTTTGAGCTTTGGCGATCGTGGAGGTGGGAAGTTTGCGAAGGTAGCTGAAGACTTCTGACTCTGGTAGGGTTGAAGGACATTCAACTTCTTCCAGAAAGTCTTTGAATTGCATCTCGTGGATCTCTGCGTCGGGGTTGCGAACAGCGCGAGATGTCGGAGCGCCTGACTCGATGATGACACGATGAAACTTGGGCTTTACACCCTCCTCATAGTTCAGAAGATGATGCCCTATCTAGACAAATGTCAGTAAGCCTGGTTGGGGTGTGCAGTGGTTTCACACGTACAGAGTGTGCACCGGCCGAAAGCCCTATAAGCGTGACATTGTTCTTGTCGCCACCGAAGTGCTCAATGTTCTCTTCGACCCAGTCAAGTAAGCAAATCTGGTCCTTCAAGCCCAGGTTGAGTGCGCCTTCTGCAACGCTCAGCTTTGATGGTAGGAAACCCAACGCTCCTATACGGTAACCGAACGATACTGCGATGAAGGGCGATTCAGACCATCCAACCATGGACGCCGTATCGTGCATCGCAGCATTTCCTCGATTGAAGGCTCCCCCATGAAGGTAGACTGCAACTGGCAGAGCGGTCGCTTTGTCGGGTTGAGCTTGCCGGAAGACGTTTACTGTAAGGCAGTCTTCACTCTCCTCTAATTTCGGTCCAACTATCATGAGCTGCTGTGCTGGAGCTCTTGGGCCGAAACTTGAAGCATCTATAGTGTCTTGACTAGGTGCTACCTTTTGTGGTGGTCGGAATCGGCGTTCACCAGTTGGTGGTAAAGCATAGGGGACTCCTCTGAAGGCTTCAACGGCCCGTGGATAGTCGCCCTGCAATGTCATACCTAACAGAGTACCCTGTGTAATTTTCACTTCCGGTCTCGTCATTGCGATGGATGCTGTGTCAATTGCTAGCAAGTTATCAGTATGCGACGAGGCCAAGCCAAGTTTTTCGACATACCTGTGAACTGCAAATCGTATGCTCAGTATGTCAAGTGATACCAGTGCTCTGAACTTTTTGGATATGTTAGTCTAAAGCTGACGTGGTACTCAAATGCCGATGTCAATAGATATCCGTTGGAGTAAGAGCACCGGCATCGGCTAATGCCCCACCCTGCTATCTAAGGCCCAGCTCGCTGCGGGTACTGCGGGCAGCGACCTTCCGAACGTGCATACCTATCGCAGGGACCACCCGTCGGATCTATTCGGTCAGTTTGATGTAACACTAGGAGCGGCTCGGCGTTGATAAGGTTACTAGGCATCTTCCCATCAATATCGTTCAATTGCATTGATGGCACCCGACCTATCCCTACCACCTCAGGCCCCAGAGCTCGGTCAATGCGACGACTTCAACTGGAATCGCGCCGCGTTTGCTGTCTACACCCTTGTCGACGGGGTATCACTTCAAGATGTCGCCTCGACTCTTGAGAAGCAGTGGCTAGAGCAGGGCAACGAGGATCATCTCGTTCGACCTGCGCCTTCCACATCAGAGCTTAAGACACTTCAAGAAGTCTTACACGCTCACATAGCCTTGGACAAAGGGGCAGACAGCGAACCGAATGAAATAGAGTGGTGGCCGACTGCGTTCATCGTCGTGGTTCGAAAGGATTGGAAAGAACCTGGAGGGTTGCTGTTCGTGTTCGCAGACGACGAGAACGATTGCAAGCTGGACAAGTTCTTTTTCAAGGTCGATGATGCGTACATGATGCTTTCGAGTCTGAGCTTCCAGGATGAGACTGAGGCTGGGAGTAAGGAGGTATACGCCCAAGGGTACTACGATGACGCAGAGTGGAGGAGCTACCCAGCACTCCCGCAACCTGAACGACGATGAGACACTCACAGATGAGAGGCACCTCAAGTATTGTGTACCAAGGAGGCGTACGGCCATAAGCCCCATAGTGAATGGAAAGCTAAGCTGATTGCCGTTCTGTATCGTATTTGATCCGCTGTTAGACCAGCAGTTGGTGATGTTGCTATTGCCACGAGAGTTTGCGCATGCTCGGTATAGATGTACAAAGCTTATAGGCAGTTTTGGTAGTAGAAGCATTGCCGCCGCGGGCGCCAGGACGCGCCACGAATTGGGCTCGCCGGAGAATGTACTTTTCCTGCGTCGACAACGCTCACGAAATTGTCGGGCTCTTTGCAGGGTACCACCCAGTCACACCATCGCTGTTCGGTGTTCGTCGACAGTGGGTGGAGATGATGATGCGTTTGTTTCCAAGGTCGCGCTTGGGTGGACAGCACCTGCCCAAAGCTGGCGCGTTGCCGAGGCCCGGCCAATCCATCCAGGCACCTCTATGAACGAACACTATTCTAACAATCAACGACACTAAGTGTTTCGTGAACGTACTCCACACAGGGACCGCCGGATATTCTTGCTGCAGTGCTAATACAGTTTGCGTGTTACCACCTTGAGGATAGACTGCGTAACGGAAGTTATGCCGACAGCTCGTGAACTCGACGAGCTGCAGCTGATATGCAATAGCTATATCGAAAAACCTATTCTTACCCTCTACACAGCCTACTGACTCAAGACGAGTAGTTTGGTGAAGTTTTGACGAACTTACAACTTATGTTTAGTCGGAATGGTGATGTTGCTATACATAGGTCTCCATGCAGCGGCCCCGGGGGGCTCTGCTGGTCGCTCCTCTTGTGGGACCCACTAGAGCTTCATGCAGTTGCGGATAGCTCCATTGGCGTCGATAGCCAACACAAGCGCCGGCACCCGTGTTGAGATGGCACTGTTCCGAAGATAGGGTGATGCGGCGGTTCTTGAAACAGATGAAGGTGATGGTGTTAAGGTGAGCAGAATTTGAGGTATCAACAGCATGTTTGCTGCATGCGCAGGATGGGTGCTGGGTTGCGTGGACGGCATCTTCTGTACAGACCACGATGCACCAGGCACGAAGATGTTGGTGGCGATTGTATGAATCTCTAGCTCCGATCGCAAGTTGCTTGTGGTTCTTGAGCCAGTAGCAGAGTCTAACGTCAGCCAAGCTGCACCACCAAACCGCGTTGACATGTTCAATTGGGTGGAGGGGTAGACCCTTAGGGCTTTCTCTCGCGTGCGCACAAGGATGGCGAGTCGAAGGATATATTCGAGCCTGCATACTATCCCAGTCATCAGAATAAGCCCTAGGAGAGTTGTTGTTACCTCGCGAAACTATCGATTCCAAGGGACCCCGCTGCGGTTGGAGCTGTACTCGCATGTGAGCCAACGTCAGTCGAGCAGTCACCGGCGGCAATGTAGACGCAGACACCAACCAGCGCATAGACTAGGCCGCCCAAATAGGGACCCTTCACATCGGGAGTAGGATATGAAACATAGCTTGGAGCCAGTGATAAAAAGAGCAACCTCAGCGCTTGCGGAAACGTTCAACAACCCGCCTCGCATCCTGTCTCGTGGCATCCTCCCAACCTCAAGGTACGGGCATGGGATCATCGTCCACGCCGCAACACTCTGGCCGCACTCCTTGCACACACGCTGTTGCCGACCTTTGATCGAATTCGCTCCACGTCATTGGCTACACGTCGGTAATTCCTTATTATTAGTCCACGCGTCAAATGAAGGTTGGAGGTGTCGAGGCTGTTTGGAACCGCTGGACAGCGGCCTAGTCCCCTTGTCGGCAAGCCTTGCGCGCACGCGCCTAGCCGCTCTCCACCACCGTCCTGAGCCCCTCCAGCACGCTGAGGTCCTGAAACCTAAAGACCCGCTGCCTTTGTCACTCTGGCCGCCCGTCGTCCGCCTGATCTTGGAAGAGCTATCTCTTAGCCCCCCGAAACCCGCCCCCTAACGGAGCCCTCCCCACACCACCGAGTCGCGCCTGCCGCCTGTCAAGCCGCACCTGCCTGTGACTCGTGGCCCAACGTCACTCGTGCCTAAACCCGAGCGGCCTCACACTCCACCGCACCTCACCTCCTCGTATTCCTCCCCCTGAGACGTCGACCGCGCGAAAGACCGCCTCTTTGATCCGGCTTACGGCAGCGACCCACTCTGTTGGGACCGAAGACGATTGACGTGCCACCTCAACACCACTCACTTTCCCTCGTTATCTCCGGGGCCAGCATCGGTTCAGACTCTGCGGGAGCCAACGTAGATGCAGTCGTTCAACAACGGGCCTTCGCCTCACCCACAACCCAACATGTCGTCCCCCGCGCCTCTGCTGCGACCACCCATCCCCGG